GAAACACTTGTCAGCAGTGTGTCCTTTTAGGTGACAGAATGAGCAAATTTCAGTAGACTGAATAGGAGCTCATGATCGAGGATTGAACCCTTTTACAGCCAACGCAGACGCCTCAGAATGGCTTTCGCCCCCCATAGTGAGTTGTCGCTGTTCCTCGCGACGAAAAGTCGAGAACACCTCTTCCAAGCTTGGAAGGGGTGTAGTAGCCAAAATACGACTACGCACTTGATCCAAACCATGATCAAGACCCGCCAAAAACATATAAATTCTGTCTTCAGCACACCTCTTCTTTAATGCATCAACATCGGCGGTGCACTTCATGGAATTAGGTCTGCGGTGGTCAAGCTCCAAAAAAATGGAATTCATTTCAGTGTAGTATGTGACAAGAGGCCGCCCCTCTTGCCTCAGTTGAAAAGATTTTTTCATTAGTTCATAAACTTGAGATGAATCAGAGACATCAAGATAACTTCTCTTAACCGCATCCCACACATCTTTGGCTGTGTCAAACTGAACAAAATGGGCCACAAGAGCATCAGTCATAGAATTAATAAGCCAAGACTTAACGATGGCATCATCTGCCACCCATTCACCATAGGTACTATCATCTTCTTTTGGTAGAGTTAGTTCACAAAAAATGTGAGTTCTTTTTTTTCGGCCAGTAATGTGCATCTATAGTAATTTTGACCACACACGGTAGTTAGTGCCATCTAACTTAATGAGAATTGGAGACGATGTTTCATGAACTAACGATGTAACCATTCTCTGGTCAGCCATTATTTCAAGTAGTTAATAAATAACGTAACAACCAATCACACAAGAAATCAATAGCAAGGTCAAAAAAACCAACCACAGTCTTCCCAATTTCCTAATTTTTTCTCCTCAGTTCTTTCTTCAACTCTCTAGCATCATGACTGCAGAAGCTGTGAACCCAAAAACATACCCATTGGCAGATGCCCAGTTGACTATTACGATCCTGGACTTGATTCAGCAGGCTGCCAACTACAAACAGCTCAAAGAAGGTGCTAATGAAGCGACTGAATGAATGCAGGCAGGCAGTGAGGGTCGCCTGAGCCGAAAAAGCGCCGCCTAGGGTTCGAAAAAGCGCCGGAATCGTCGCTGCAGACGCAGCCTCTGCCGGAAAACGCACCTGCCTGAGTCGCGCAGCTCCCTGCTGGAGAGCGCCTAGGGTTCGTGCCGCCGGAGTAGCCGCTGCAACCTGCCGGTGATGGGACCTTCAGAATCGGCGGTAAACGCAAGGCAAGGGTTCGGCTTTCCTCAGCTCTGATACCAAGTCGTGTTTTGGGTTTTGAAGTATATAGTTTTTATTGATAGGATAAATGAATATATACAATACAAGAAATTACAACCATGGTCCCTAACAATAACAAATATTACAAGTAAGTACAATTATATTTCAACTAAAAGTAATCAAGATTCAACAAATTTAATTATGTTAACTACCAGATTTTTCTAATGATTCAATACATAGGGGAAATGCAACCATCATAATCACCAAGCCAAACGCTCACATGCTACATGCAAGAAACCAAATAGGAAAAAACGTATGAAATCAGAGTGACATATATACTAACAAGATAAACCAAGGAAAAACATCAAGGTATTAGAAGTAATAGAATCTTGCTTATGGCATAAAAGCTTTCACAAATGCTTAGTACAAGGACTGATCAGCAAAAGTAATGCCTAAAAAAATAGCATACATTTCATTGGGAAGGTTATGGGGCCTGCGGCATACTGTCCGACTTATAATTTTCTTATCCTTAGTCAGCAAAACATAACATTCAAGCATATCTGCAAAACTTCACATGAAAAGGTTAGAAATAGAAAATATCATCATGTAAACAATGATTTGACAACCCTTGAACTGTAAAGCATGAACATAAGAGGGGGCGTAAGATAGAAAAACCTAGATCAGCAAAGCAGAAAACGCTAGTATTGTTCTAAATAGAATATAATTCCTTGCCTAAATGCTAACATGTTGATAAATATCTGACAGCAACATGTTTCCACAATCAGTATATTCAAATTTTCAGAGTATGTTCTTGATTGGGAGTAACATTCAAGTATATGATTACTACAGCTTTATTCCTCTCAACCAGTTGTTAAATAATTCAGTACAAACAGAGATACAGAGATGAATGGATACACACATAATTAAACACTGACGATTACCTTCATTTGAGAACTCCTTTTTCAAGCTACTATCTTCCATTAGTATCCCTCCTATATAACAAGCCACCAAGCAATCAATTAGGAGGAGGGGAAAAGTGAATGCAGAGAGCAAACATCTCTCTAGAAAGAAGAGATCAATAATATAAACAAAATGACAAGGGTCTCTTAAAAACGAAATTTCAGATACTGACCGTCGCACCAATCAATAGTTACAGACAAAGATGGCACATAACAAAGATCTTTTGAAAAGATAATAATAGGAATTATCAAGTTCACAATGTCAGGAAAAATAAACAATTTTTTTTTTAGGAGATGTATTCAGCCATGTATAAGAATCAAATATTTCCACTGTATGACATCCGATCTTATATGACACGTGATATGAACCACTTAGAATCATATAAGTTTGTATACCTAGAATAATGCTCATCAATTTTTTAAAGTGGGCAATGTTTATACTCCAAAAAGATGACCACAGCTCCAAACATATTATATACAAGTTCACAATCCAATACAGCCATAGTGATTACAACAGTAAATCCATAGTATTACTTTTGACTCATGATAAATCCCTTACTCATATAGGTAAGTTATCACTGCAGGCAGACTCATAAATAGCATGTCGTCTCCAACTTTTAGTGATAATCATTTGCTAATCTAGCACATCCTGAAAATTGATTTTGAGCTTGGTAGGCAACATAACTCTATTTTCAGTCTGGCAGGTCAGAGAAAAAATGTACATCAATTTACTTTTTTTGATTAACCCTTAGACACGAATTCATCGTTCATCATTTAGGATAAATCTATTGAAAAATAAATGAAAATTAAGCCCCAGTTTGACAGCCTTTTTTCTGGGAAGAATGAATTTTTGAATAGTAAATTTTTGGAAATTGTGTAGTTAAAAAGTAGGAAGAAATTTTGGATTTACATTAAGAATATTTTATTGTGAGAATTTGTAGTTGAAAATGAGTATGGACTAAAAAGAGTTTTGGAAGAATGGTTACCAATCAGGGACTAAGTTAACGTCCTTGTAATTCAGAACTTTCCAGCCAGAGAACTTCAGCTCCTATCAAGCTCCCAGTAACTGCATGTGTAATGCATCTATTATTTCAAAAAAGTATGAGACTTAAAAAAATTATCTTTTCTCATAATTCCATAAAAGTGATAATATTTGAAGGATGCATCATTTCACTGTTGAGAAACTCAATAAGTTACATATGAAATGTAACCATCTGAAAGAGTTAATGCAATAATGAAGAACCACGCAACATTAATGCAAATAAATAAACGGATATGGCTTTCATAATTATTAGCATCAAATGTGCTCATACCAAGAGGCAACTTGCTTAGATTGCTGAATTATTACTAATACTCAAAAGCTTTCTACGCTTTTCAATTTATAAATATCAAATGAATCAAACCCGAAATAACAAAAAAATAATAATAATAAATAAATAAATAATAATAATAAGGGAGTGGATACAAATCAAATTCAAAAAATATTTCTTGGTACTACGTCATGATATCATGCCTAGCTGAGCATATAATTCCGCCAATAACAAGTTGTCAAACAAAAAAAAGAGTAAAATCAAATACAAAAATAACATAACTTGGCATGCAAGTAAGGGACAAACTAAGATGGCTCCACTTATTAATAAAGTTGTTAACTACCTCAACTAAAAGCTAAAGATTACAAAGAAGAGACTAATTTACTTATTTCAAATTTAGTAATTAACATGCCCCCTTTTCTGCAGTCTAAAATCATATTTATATCAAAGCCTAACAATTACACAATTATTTGCAACGAAAATTGACTCAAGACCTCTATTTGCTCCGATGCCCTATTAAACCACTAAACTAACATAGCTCGGCATGCAAAGGGAGAAGCTAAGTTGGCTCCACTTATTTGTGAAGTTGTTAATCAACTCATGAAAAGCTAAGGATTATGAAGAAGGAACTAACTTATTTATTTACTATTTAGTATTTTATGTCTTCAAAAGCCCCTTCACTTGTAGCTTATGTACAGAATTCATATATGGGGAGATTATACTCGAACATAGGATAGGACCTCATCCAGGCTCTAATACAATGTATTCTGAACGTCATCTAAAAGCTCTCACATACTTATTGTTGTGAGCTACGTTATATTAATAAAACTGTACAATAAATGCTTACACGCAGAGTGAGTGAAGCCCCTTTTAAAAAAAAAATGCATATTGTAATAGTGCTATGATGGAGAATGTGATTAAAAAATAACGAAAAGTTTTGGATTTATATGTAATATTATTTTATTGAAAAATGCATGATTAAAATATGGTCATTAAACAATGTATTTTGATAGGAAAATGAGTCTCAAACAAGGACATGTTTTCTGCATTGTTATTGTCCAGTATTGCATCCACAGTAGTATATGTAGGCATGGGGTTCANCAAGGGACATGACGATGACTGCAGTTAACTACCACTCAGGATCTGGACTATTCATGTTCCACACCATCCCACTAACGTGTAATTTATATACAAGCATTAAGGCTCTCGTCAGGCCACATTCTTATTTTCCTCCAAAGTTACTTTCAAGTACACATTTTTCAAATAAAATAATTTTCACCCAAACCCAAATTTTTTTCTGAAAAATGGACTTAAACCACGGCTAAATGGGCAACAAAAAAATGAAGAGTCTTGACTCTGTAAAAATACTATGCGGAATAATGACCACTTCGCATCACCAATAAAGCCAGAAACAAATGAATACTATACAATTATCACTGTTCAGTCTAGACGAAAAACCCTAGGCCAATAGCATCATGCAACCAGATTGTCAAATCCCTTCACATTGTTCACAACACGCTTTAATAGGCATAAGAAAGCTGAAAATTCACTCAAATGAATAGATAAATTCCTTAACTTCTCTTCGAAGTTAAAATCGTAAAAAAATAATAATAATAAATAAATAAATATGTTTGCAAAAATAGCACTTTTTAAACATCAATATTTTCAGATAAACCCAACACAGAAAAAAAAAGTAAAAAATAAAAATTGTACTACTCGTACTATGTATATTTTATACAGGAAGACGTAAGAAATTGTATACGTATGACATGTGATTATCATTACCGGCGGCTTGTTGATTTGAAAATTTTGGAGAGAGAAAGGAAGCGGTGAACTCGGATTCGAAACGAAGAATTTTGCTTGGTGCCTGTTTCTGTGAAAGCAATGGGAGGAGCGTGGGGAGAAGAGTTTTTCTATGCGGAGTCGTGTGTGACGTGACAAAACGAAAAGTGCATGCTCCTGAACTGACGTCGCGGTGGGATGGGAAAAACTACAACTTTAAAAATTGCCTCTCCCATTTTTCTCATTCTTTTTTCATTATTTTTTTTTTACGATCATTTTCAATTACGCATTATTCATTAAAATAATATTACACATAAATTAAAAATATTTCCTACTTATTTATTCATATATTTTCCATCAATTTACCATTCCGTAATACATTACAAAAAATTAATGGAGCTCAAACCATGGTGCATTTGCCTCCAATAACTAGAGGAATCAATTTGACTCGTTAGCTTGAAGAACCCGTGGTTCGACCCAAAAAAGTTTGAACCGGCCCAACTAGTGATTCGGTGAAATCGAGCCCCATTTTGGAGCGTCTGCTTGAGCTTGAGCCAGCTCGTGTCACGGGGTATTCTCAGCCTGTAACGAGTCGAGCCTAAAAAATAAATAACATCCACGAAACTTAAAAAAAAAGGCAACTACTAATGCAAAAGCCTACTCGACTTAGCTCGGGTTGAGTCTAGATTTTTTGATCGAGCAGTAACTAGGCTCAACTCGAGCCGTAAAAAACTAAAAATATTTTTACTCGAACTTCAAGTTCGGCTTGGCTCAATGAAATTTCCATCCACAACTAATGCTGGAACGATAGTCGCATACATTAACCCTCTTTGAGCCTATTTTTTGGTAATATATGTTTTTGAATAATGTGTAATCTAAAAATAATGAGAAAATTTAGGTTTATTTATAAAACTATTTTATAAAAACATTTTTGATTGAGAATGAAATCAAACCCCTGTCTGGGTCCCATGCCAGCCGCATATATTGATTGCCTCAATTGATTGATTACCCGTATACACAAAATGACAAATGTGCCCCTTTAGTATTTCATTAAATTTCATTAAGGGGGTGCATTTTCGGTAATTCAAACATCAAAAAGGACGGCCGCCTCTCATTTGTCCAACCAGTTACAAACAATGAAAATTGGGGTTCAAATTCTGCACTAATGGGACCCA